ATTACACTAAGATGTTTATAGGAATAGAAACGTGGCAGTCAGTGTGTTAATGTCGTTCTTTCGGGCTCCGCAGATCGTCGTTTCACTCACGAACTAAGAAAAAAAGAGAGAAAAAAAAAGATCAATTGCGCGGAGATTTTTCTCTCGACGAGAGGCGAGTACGATAAAACTTTCACAAAGGATTTGCCGGAGAAAAAGACGCGGCCAAGTAGTCTCGGAACATTAAACTTGTCAAAAGTTGCGCAAACCTTTATTCGGGACCTCTATACCTCGCAGTATCAAATTATTTCCTTTTAAACAATCTCTAGAGATACTTAAAAACAGTAGTGTCTCGTTGTATCATTTTATATAACTTTTATACAAAAATGTACGTTATAATCAACATTTGTAAAGTAATTAATGATAATATACGCGTACAATTAATAATATAGTAAATTGATATATGGATTAATTTTATCAGCACTGGTAGGTATAGATGCGTTTATGTTAAGAAGAAGTTCTGCGTTGTATTACTATTTCTCTCAATTTGTATGCATTATACTGAGCAAGGTTGACCATTTTTTCTATATATGTTTTTTATAATTTTATACATATGTATAGTACGTATACATAATACATTATATCTCATATATGTGTTTATTATTTTTATTTATATTTATATTACACATATATCCACATTTTATTATGTTTCATATTTATCATGTTTAATGTCACAATTATTTCTCTGAAGAAGATTAAAAATAAACAAAAAATGGTGACCCAGCTCCGTATATTTCAACATACTGGATATTAATCCGATGTGTCATTATCGAGTAAATATTGTATTTTCATAAACAGGAATTTACAGAAAAGATTTGCAAAGGAAATTCACATCGCGAAATGCACCGAAGATATTTCAGCGTGTCGGTCACTGAGTAGACATTATATTTTCACGCGAACAAAGTAAGAAAAGTATTCGAAACTGTGTCACAGACATAAATCAGTCAGAGAGGAATATTTACTCGTTTTGTGTTTGTGCCAGATCTGGCCTCGAGACTCTAGCAATAGTTTCGCTGATACGGTAAAGAAGTTACACACAACTCCGATCAATTTGTCACTGATATCCCGTAAAAAAAAAAGAAGAAGAAAGAAAGAAAAACAAGCAGACACACACATAGATAAGAAGCTGCACCTCGAGCAAATTTTTTTCTTTTTTTTTTTCTCTTTTTCACTGGCGCTCGACGTGCTTTCTCTTCTTTTTTTCGAAACGAAACGAAAGAAACAAGAAGAAGAAGAAAAAGAAAACTGGAAAACAAATTGGTCCACACTAGGCGTGCTTGGGTCACGTGTTTTACTCTGCCATTATCCACATGTCGTTGCAAATTGAATCACGTCGCTGTGAAACATGGCAGTGTGAAGAGACAAACTTGTGCCGTGGCTGATTCGACACCAACGAAGAGTTTACATCAATTCACCAAACAAGAACGACGTCATTGGATGCACATTCTTTCAAATAGATATTACATCGAGGAGAGAAGCAACGGTTATATACTTGATGCACATATAATAGTAGTAGATAAACTGAGAGAGAGAGTTTAAGTTACCTTGAGTGTATAAGATTTAGATAACAATCTTCTGCGATTTTTCTCTTTCTCTTCTTTGTAGAGAAATGAGACGAAAGAAAAATTTGGGACAAGGCATTTATTATGTATTATCTTCAGTAATATCTGTATATATTGTTTTAACAAAGTGGCTGCACTAAAATCCTCTTACTGCCTCGGCAATTTGACGAACCTCTTTCTATCTCGGTGATGTAGATTGCGAATTCACGGTTTCAGCAAACAAACGAACTAAATGTTTTTAATCGCTATGTAAAACATTGGTTAGCGAAGGGATTTTTTTGAAAAATATTGACTTTCAATCGAATAAATAGTAATATAATAATCAAATAAATTATAATAAACAATAAACAAATTAAAAATATTTTTTTAAAAATACTTTCGACTTTCTGTCGAATAAATAGTTCGATAAATAGAATAAGTAATTAAACAAATAATACAATAAATGAACAAAAAACAAAAAGATATATTTAAAAACAGAGAAGTTTTGAACATTTTTTAATAATTCAAATTACTTCGCCAGTAAATATTATATATTTGCTATCTTTCTTTGATTGCATCACGACGATTCCAGTAAAAATATACGAATATCACTTGAACAGTAAAGATTTCATTTTCCAAATTTTCCAACAATTTCATTTTCTCTTTTCATACGAAAGAAATCGCAGAAGATTTCACACATTCAAAATAACCTAACGTTTCAAAAAGAAAGATAAAAAAAAGGACAAGTTATCAGACAAAAGGAATAGCGAGTGTGCTCGAAACAAATGTATATACATACAACAATTCTTTTTGATGCTTCGAGGTTACATTTCATATTTGCAAAATATGCGTCAGTCTTGTTCAACGCTTTGTGTGTTACGATGGCAAATGGTTAAGATATTTCCATGAAAACAATACTTCATGAGTAACATTGACGTACAATATTCAGTTCGTATTTTGTAAATTATGTACATATATATGTATACACATATACAGAATGTTTGTCCTAATATCTCGCATGTTATTTATGCTGCAAGTAATATGACGATGTTATAAAATATTTCAAAGATATTTATACAATGATTTCAATATAATATTTCTGTAACGCAATATTTTTAAAAATTACATCAATTGCATCGATATATATTTAATTCTTAGACTGTATACAATTATTTAATCTTACTAAATTATGAAAATTATTTCCAACTGGCTAAAGGGACAATTTCTACTTCCAGTTACATTGCAAATTTTTCTTACTCTGCAAACAAAAATATTATTATTTTCTACATTAAATGAATTTATCTTGTAGTTCTCAACAGCATCACGAAGAAATTTATACTACTCCATTTAGAAAAGTCCAAGTAATTGTCGCGAAAGATTGTTTTCACGGATAATATTTAAATATTGTTCAACACGGATAAATTTTGATTCACTTACTGATAAATTTTCTCCTATTATATTATCGTCGCAAACAGTTGAAAAATCATGTGAAATATTCTAGTATAAAGATTCTGTATATACATATACAAATATATAAATATATTATATTTTATATGGAAAACAGCATCTTTAAATTATTTAGGAAACTACCTGTGAAAAGAACTTCGTAACTCTGCGATGAAAACAACGAATGAATACATATATATACGTATTGAAAGTACAAGGTATACACATCATCCTCGGTCTGACTAAAATCAGACTCTACTACTAGTCTGCATCCAATGCGACCGCACTGACGTTTTGATGGTCGTGCCTTTAGTAGCCATGTGCGGATACTAGAAATTTACGAACGATTCTATCATTACGGAGGAGCTCGAATTTCTTCTGTCGGATTTAACACAGATATTATGTCTATCTTTAGTTTTTTATAACGGTTAAACAGACAAAGTTGTATAGTATTCAATGAAAGCATCATAAATTGACGCTTACATGTAGCAAACTATCAATTTAATTGTATACTGAATTTTAATTATATTTGCATTCAAATATATTATATATATATAATATTTATATTCGTAATTCAATTAATTTTTATAATTATATTGAATATTATGTTCATATTTCAATTATGTTTGTAATTTGTAATCAATTTCAGTTTTATTTTTAATTGAAAATATAGAGGCAGAAATTTAGATTCGGGGAATTTATAAGTAAATGCACGCTCTGATTAAGTAAATATAATATCATAATATCATAAAATAGTACAGCAAAAAGTATAAAAAGTATATAGTGTCGTTACATAGATATAAATAGTACAAATAGGTATAAATAGTATAAATCAAATTGATTTCGACTGAATTCAAAGAACAGTAATATAGAGTAAATTTCAAATTAAAAAATTAGAAAGATCTTGTAAATTATAGATATAGTGATTTTACTTACTCTGGACTTATCAATCATTTTGATTCTGAATTACGGTCTCTTGCATCATTTGCTTTCAAATTGCAATCACTTTTGCAGTCTAGTTATCCTCAATAAAGTAAACTATGAAACTCATTTCGAACGCAAATTGCTATCAGAGAAACAGGCAAAGAGATTGAACAAATAAACAGAAGCTCATATCCGTTGGAAATAACTGTTAAACACGGAATAGTAGTCGAAACGATCATGTACACTGCGGCGTGTACAATTGATCTAGCTGAACTTATCTGATTGTTTTCCAGTTCTTTAAATTATATGCAAACATGCAGGTTGTCAAGTTATCCAAGTGACAAGATCTTCAATTTGAGAAAACTATCATGGGAACTCGATGATTTCAAATATTAAAGTGATAAAATTAAGTATTCGATATATTGAAATTTAAATTTAATTTAAAGTCGAATTCCTTATAAACGTCAAACGACAACAATGAAAAAGCATGTTTTTACTTTTCTGCACGCAATTTGTAAAATGTTGCATTCACGTTAGACGCATGCGCGTCAGACGCTTTCACACCGACGCGCGAAATTTGAAACTCGGGTATAGAGAGACAGGAACGTGCCTTATTCCGGCAAAAATCTCTAACACACGCGTCGAGACATCGATCTTTATAAGAAATCCCGCCTTTACAAAGTATCAATTGTTTCGATTGTGTAAGATTCACGTGTATACACGTGTGTTAAGACACACGTGGATCTTTAATTTTATACAGGTCCAAATCTCTACTAATCTCAATTCACCAACATGGCTACTAAAAACCACGCGTGACACACCTTTCTGCTAAATCCAACGTGGAAATTCGACTAAACAAAAGATACGAATCGTCGTATCGTGAGAAAAAAAAAGAACGCCCGTGCATGCCTAGTCTTCAGGTGCGCGCGCACACAGAAAAAAAAACCCCAAAAACCAAACAAGAACGCACACATCGAGAATCATACATGGGTTAGAGGTTAGAAAAAGAGAGAGATAGAGAGAGAAGGAAAATTTGATCGTACGACTTACGCTAGGTGTCGTATTGCCTTGGTTCACGTGCTGAGCCGGTACATCGTCGTTAAAATAGTCGTCGTTCTGCGTTCCCGGCACGCTCTGAGCAAAGTCCAAGAGACGACGGTTCGGGCTATCCGGTGTGGTCGGCAAATCATTAGGTAAATTCGGTAGGCAGGACGAGGCGCTGCGACGGTGTCGCGACAGACTGTAATGCTCATAGTTACGATAACAGCCTGGCCCAGTCTGGGCAGGGCCGCGTCCGCACGCGGATTCCCCCTCGGTGCTGTTACCATCCACGCCGGACATATTGTGACCTGGAAACAGGTTCCGCGTCCGTTCTGTCTTGTAACAATGCCGTTACCGTCATCAAACCTTGACGCAAGAATAGGCGAGGATTCAATCCGAAACTTTTGCACTCGTCTTCGGCAACGTACTCCAATAGAAAGAGAGAGAGAGAGAGAGAAGGGAAAACTAATAGATAAATATAGATAGAGATAGATAGATAGAGATAGATAGATAAATAAGATAAGGTTAGGAAGAAGAAAGACATGCAGCGATTTTTTCTTTTGGATGAACGATACGATCCGTTTGAAAAGTGCGAATGACAGGAGTTATGTCTCGGCCTGGTCCGGCGTGGTAGGCTGGTCGTTAGGTGGATTGTAGAGGAACGCAGCAGGATATACAGGCAAATCATAGACACCAGCGTTTGTGTACCACTGTTGCGAATAGAATTTCGTTAGAATTAAAATTTACCTACGTGTTTTCTGATGTTAATCGATATGTTTTGTCAAGCAAACTTCGCACAGCGTAAGAATTTCCCCAAAATTTATGTACAGTATATTTCCTGCAATTTTCAGTGTGTCGAAGGATGAACTTTTAAGCGTTCGTTGATGAATGAACTTATTGTCAGAATGAAAAGGAAAAATAAAATAATTCTTGGTAATTTTGAACTTTAGTAATTAATTATCGAAATTGAATGTGGTATTGTAAATACTGTAATCGTCAGTGTTAATGTTTCTGTGATCAGAACATCTTGCTTGAACTCTAGATTGATAAATTGAATTATTTGGACTTGATCTTCCTTTCAATTGATTTTGCAACGATGCCGTGTACAAAAATCATCTTAGTTTTGACTTAAAAAATAATCGAGTATACAGTAATATACTGTCGAGAGCATTTTGCACATAAATGCCATACGATTATTATTAATCTTTCAATATACTTATTTACGAATGTATTTGAACTCAATATTGCGAATAAAACTTTAAAATACTTTAATTGTGAAACAAAAAAGAAAAGCTATAAAAACTATTTTTTTACTGTAAAAATAAGTATACTTATTGAAAATGAAATTCTTAACAATGTCTGCTTACCATCCACGCCGGACATCTAAACGATTTAAGAAGCTCGATGTCCAGTTGTTCGTGCGTTTCTTCGCATCTTGATAAGTTTATCAATCATGGCGCAGGTACGATAACAGAAAGATGACTGATCATGCTTACAATTAGTGTAATTAGGTGTATTAACACTGGAACTCCGAACACAATCATTTCAATACTTATTCTGATACGTTTTCTCTTAGAAACATCTTTGTTGTATGTACAAAATTTCATTACATATTTTAAGAGATCGCCTATAATATTGTAATAAATATCATATCGTAGTATAAACAAACGAAATCGAAATGATTTTAAAATCCTAATTTAATTTGCGTGACAGAGCACACGTAAATATTGATTGTTTTATGTATGTTTTTATTCCATGTTTCTTCCGCAAAACTGTGCCAATATTTTGTGAACAGTATTATGAATTATTATCGTAACAGAGAAATTATAACAGAAATACGAAACAACAGCAGAGAAATATATAAAGAAGAGAGAAATTGAATTTTGTTGTAAATTGAATTGTATTATAAATATTTTTACAAGTAATATTTTATAAATAAAGATAAAAATATAGATTTGTATGAACGCTTCGTTATAAAAAGTTATGACAAAAATAGAAGACAAGATGCTGATTTCTCATTTGAAGGATTGACCTTTGATCTTCGAGATTACCGAGCATCATCCCACCGGGCTTTTACTCGTGAGAAAAAGTTTAGACAAAAATTAATATCCATTAGGAATTAATATAACGCGTAAGCATGTTTCGTGAAAAGTAAAATTTAAAAATATTTCAGTACTACTGAACAATTACACGTAGCACTGCTTTTAGATAATCAAATTTTTGCAGTTTATACTGTACAGATAATTTATATAGCTATCTCACTTAATTAAAAGTTAAAAGAGAGCAGGTTAAGGCACCCTTAATGAAATAAGTTTGATAAATGTAATGCGAAGTCTAATTTAAATATTTAAAAATATTAAGTAATATTCTAAAAGTTAGATATTTTAAAATGCAGTTAGATTGTAAGATTTTGTCTTTATCAAATTAAAAATCGTTTTAAAAATATCTGTTGTTTCTTTGTATTCTGTTACAACTTTCTAATCAATCATGATATCTTTTCCTTCATTTTCACTTTTGTCCTATAAAAAAAAGTGCACAAACTATCATATATTTAATCAATTCTCTTTATAACAGTATAAAATTATATAATTTTGCAATTTCATGATGTACAATATAAAGTGTAATTCCCAATTCTAAGTATTTCAAACAAAACAACTATGATCGTTCATTCCCTCCAATTTCATAACATACCTCATTGCAAACTAAACTAATTCCAAAACTACTGAAAGTAATCTAACATACAGATAAAATGAAATAAAATAAGTAGAAGTCTCATCAAAATTTAAAAAAAAAAAAAGATATTTTAACATACAGATAAAATGAAATAAAATAAGTAGAAACAGACTATATTTCAGTCTCATCAAAATTTCAAAAAAAAAGATATTTTAACATACAGATAAAATGAAATAAAATAAGTAGAAACAGACTATATTTCAGTCTCATCAAAATTTCAAAAAAAAAGATATTTTAACATACAGATAAAATGAAATAAAATAAGTAGAAACAGACTATATTTCAGTCTCATCAAAATTTCAAAAAAAAAGATATTTTAACATACAGATAAAATGAAATAAAATAAGTAGAAACAGACTATATTTCAGTCTCATCAAAATTTCAAAAAAAAAGATATTTTAACATACAGATAAAATGAAATAAAATAAGTAGAAACAGACTATATTTCAGTCTCATCAAAATTTCAAAAAAAAAGATATTTTAACATACAGATAAAATGAAATAAAATAAGTAGAAACAGACTATATTTCAGTCTCATCAAAATTTCAAAAAAAAAGATATTTTAACATACAGATAAAATGAAATAAAATAAGTAGAAGTCTCATCAAAATTTCAAAAAAAAAAGATATTTTAACATACAGATAAAATGAAATAAAATAAGTAGAAGTCTCATCAAAATTTAAAAAAAAAAAAGATATTTTAACATACAGATAAAATGAAATAAAATAAGTAGAAACAGACTATATTTCAGTCTCATCAAAATTTCAAAAAAAAAGATATTTTAACATACAGATAAAATGAAATAAAATAAGTAGAAACAGACTATATTTCAGTCTCATCAAAATTTCAAAAAAAAAGATATTTTAACATACAGATAAAATGAAATAAAATAAGTAGAAGTCTCATCAAAATTTCAAAAAAAAAAGATATTTTAACATACAGATAAAATGAAATAAAAGAAGTAGAAACAGACTATATTTCAGTCTCATCAAAATTTCAAAAAAAAAGATATTTTAACATACAGATAAAATGAAATGAAATAAGTAGAAGTCTCATCAAAATTTCAAAAAAAAAAGATATTTTAACATACAGATAAAATGAAATAAAATAAGTAGAAACAGACTATATTTCAGTCTCATCAAAATTTCAAAAAAAAAGATATTTTAACATACAGATAAAATGAAATAAAATAAGTAGAAACAGACTATATTTCAGTCTCATCAAAATTTCAAAAAAAAAGATATTTTAACATACAGATAAAATGAAATAAAATAAGTAGAAGTCTCATCAAAATTTCAAAAAAAAAAGATATTTTAACATACAGATAAAATGAAATAAAATAAGTAGAAGTCTCATCAAAATTTCAAAAAAAAAAAAAAGATATTTTAACATACAGATAAAATGAAATAAAATAAGTAAAAGAAACAGAGAACTATATTTCAATCTCATTAAAATTTCAAAAAAAAAAAAAAAAAAAAAAAAAAAAACGTAAAGGATAATAATTTATGAATGAAACTGTTCTGTGTGGGTCTACTTTGTCACGATACTTTGTCATCCAGGAATTTTACAGGAAACTTGTTCCACTATGTTTGATCACGTTTGAGCCTCGTCTTGCGATTCTCATCGGTCATCTTTAGTTTTGATAATGTTTGTATGTCGTCGATGATATTTAATTGTCAACGCTTCCAACAATTCGTGGCCAAAAAGTGGAGTTTGACGAACGTTTGGAGCAGTTTGGAGGCGTTTGGAGCGAGCGCAGCGTTGATTCTTGCGAGTCGGGCCGGGGAATTCAGTGGCCGGGGATGGCAAACAATCGCGACAGGTGGCCCTTTGTCGACCAGGGGGTGGGAGGCATTGTCGCGGGGCGCGCGAGCGCGTGCACGCGGTATTTATCTGGCGGAAACCGTGGCCATAACTTCGTTTCCATGGGAATTGTTTGGCAACAGGTGGGGAAAATTTCCACGCACAGGCTGGCCTGCACAGCCTCGTTTCTCCTCCCAACCCTCTCCAGCCGCCCACACGCTTCACCGCCAGTGCAACAATTCTATTTTCCTACCCACCCACCTTCATTTCTCTCTCTCTCTCTCTCTCTCTCTCTCTCTCTCTCTCTCTCGTCGTTTCCATCGACGTTAGCTTCTCGCTACTTTTGCGCATCGTGCTTTTGCAGTTTCAAGTTAGAACCACGAAAGTGGTCGAAACGGTCAATTTGAAATGGTAATTTTTCTATGGGAATCTTGTATATGTTTACAGATACTCGAGCTTTTTTTTTTTTTAATGTATCGTTAACTTCTTCTTGCAGCTCTTCCACTGCTACGAATATTACACTTTAGTTTCATCGGTAGTTCTAGTGTTAAACGACATAAATAACTATTATTTTGTTGTAAGTTAATATAACTATGATTGTGTTATAAATTATTAACATTGTGAAACGTTTCTGTTTCTATAAATATTTCAGAGCCACTCAAACGAGATGAATATAATATATAATGAATAGAAGTACCAAAGTGGTCGAAATGATTATTACAATTTATTACAGTTTCCTATGGAAATTTTATATTCACGACAGCATATTTTCATAGATACTCGATACTTATTTTTTACTCGATACTTGTGTTGTTTCTTTTTTTTTTATTATATCACTAATTTTCTCTTAGCCTGCGCTTTGATTTCGTTGCTCTTGACTCTCTTAAGTATAGAATGAATTTCTCAATTCAATTCAAAGTCAGTCGCGATGTCGTGAAATCAGTTACAAAAGGACGTATATCATCAGTT